GTTCCAAGCATCACAACCCTTGCTTCAGTCCCCTCTGCCAAGTCAAGGAATGCATTTATGTCAGTGTCCAATTCAGAGGGCAGGGTGGAGTTTTGTCTTTAAGATTCAGCAGGGAACCCAAGATCCAGACTGGTGAAGCACTTGGCCCAAGTTCACACAGCTGAGTCTGAGGAGAAAATTCTAGCCCAAGCTCCTCTGCCCTAGAACACCCGTCATTTGAGAATGGGGACATTTATCTATTTGTTTGAGACAGTAGCCCATTTTTTATGGTGACAGACGTTCCCTTGATGTGCCAAATTTTGAAGTTGGCTATTTTTAGGGGAATGCAAAACTTAAAATGTAAAGGTGTAGTAGACCTTTTCATCTCTCCCTCTTTCCAGCCCAATCAGTTTTAGGGGATCTGAAAGTCAGGCCTTAGATTTAGGGAAGATGGTTGGGGAGGGGTGGTCAGCCCCAGGTACTCAGAACAGAAAAGTTCTGTGGGTCATCAGGCCCATGTCAACAGGCTCCTCAAAATCCACTGTCTGGATCCTCTCTGAGACCATCATTTCTGGCTGTGGCCCTATTTGCTCCTGGGATTGTCTATAGTTCTGCCTTCCTGAGTTTTTGCCTCAACTTGGCCTTGGCCACTTGTTTTTTTTTTTTTTTTTTCTGAGCCATCCTGCCACCTGTTGGCAGCTCAGGGGCAACTCAGCTCAGGCCAGGACTTGAACCGCTGTTGCTCAGAGCTCGCACTCTTGAGCAAGCTCTTAACCAATTGAGCCACTCAGCTGGCCCTTGGCCACTTGTTTGGGGGCAAAACTTTTCAAGTCTTCCTCAGGAGCTAAGACCATCACCAGGTCGATCCTTTCTTGAAGCAGAGTCTCTCTTTCACTGAACAAAACTTCCCTGAACACTTGTACCATGCCAGGTTTGGAGCTCAGAGGTGACTCAGATGGATCTTTGTCTTTAAGGAATCATTTGTAAGACCCCGGGGCAAGACAGACTCATACACACATAAGTGTAATAAGAAGGTCTAGACCCTGTGCCGGAAGTATGGCGCATGGAGTCATGGGGGGGGAGGCACCAAGGGGGAACAGACTCATAATGTCTGAGTCTGAAGGATGAGGAGGTAGAAGTTTACTGAGGGTGGGAGTAGAAGGAGTTCCCACAGAAGGAACAGCTTTTGAAAAGGCACAGAGTTGGAAGAGGGCACTCAAGAATGGCCTTGAATTCCAGGCTAAGGAGCAGGAACTTTGGCTCATATACAGTGGGAGAAGCATGCATGGCAGAGCCAAAGCAAGAGAAGGAGAAAATCGAATGTACATTTGGAAAGATCTTTCAGATCTTTTACTGGGGAGGCAGGGAAGACACTGAGGCAGGGCAGTTAGAGGCTGGAAGATCTTAAGAAGCATCCAACCAATTCTTTTATTTATGCACAATCTGAGGTCCAGAGAGGTAGTGACTTCCTCAGTGTCACCGGCAAGATCAATAGCCAAGTCAAGGCTTCGACCTGTGTGCTCTGCCTTCTAGCACAGGCCTCCTCCACTGCTCCAGTATCCTTAAGAAAAGAGGAAGCCCACTGAGATTTCCCTGTTGTTCTTTGCCATTAAATCTGGCATGTGCTCTGCCTGCAGGCCGGCCTGCTAGGACAGTGACAGGGAAGTGTTCCCAGAGGACAGGGCAGGGAGCATCGCCTGTCTGCTTCTGAAGCAGGGGCTGCTTCTGCTGCCTCTACACCAATCAGGGAGCTTTCCAGCCTCAGGAGGAAGCCAGGAGCCAGGGGATGGGGCTGCGGTGATGATTTATGACTGCACAGAAACAACAGGACACTAATTTCTCTGGCTGGCCTGCTTGTCAGCCAACCCAGTAGGAGAGGATGCATCTAAAGGTCATGTCCTCCAGCACTGGAGATGGGGCAGAGGGTTAGCCATACAGGGTGCTTGCCCAGTGCCCTTGTGTCAGGCCAGTCACCAGAGGCAGGGTCCCTCCTTTCCTGAGCAGATACCAATGGGTAGATCCTCGTAACCTGGGCAGGAAGAGGTGTCCTTGCTATTGGGAGTCCGGAAGATCGGCCTGGGTTTGAATTCAGGCTCTACCTTTGCCTGGTTACCCAGCATCTCCACATCTCAGCTTTCTGTCTAAAATCAGGGATGACTCTGAGCCTCTCAATTCTTGGGACTTGACCATCTCCCACGTCTGCACAGATCTCCTGTTTCCACAGCTGAAGAATGCCAATAGCCTTCTATTTCAGAAGAGGAACATGTTGAATCTAGAACTATGACTGTCACAGCTAGGCAGAGCACTTAGTTCTCATTTAGCTTAATTTCTCACTTCAAAGGAGGGGAAATTGAGACCCAGAGAGGGGACAGGCCTTGCACATGAGCTGGGAGCCAGGCAGAAGCCAGAATACTAGTTCTCCAAATCCCTGCTCCAGATTTCTTCCAGCAGTACCAGGCAGCAAAGGAAGAAGCCAGAATAATAAGCCATTTTCTCTGTATAATGTCACCATGCCTCTGAAGCAATCCTCTAAACAGCCATGGGCTGCTGGACAGCTGCAGCTTTAAGCCTAGAGTCTTAAAAAAATCAAAAGGGAAAGGAGGGAAGGGCCAGCTCTCCCCTGCACCATTGGATGGAAACCTAGATGTGGAGGCTGCAGATGTCATTACTGTCTGGCTTTGGAATATCCTTTCTTTGTATCTGCTTTACTTTTCCAAAACAGATTTGGCCTTTATTAATTTTTTTTTTGAATGCACATTGGGCTAGTGAGGGAAGGAACTGAGGTGGAAAGGTCAGAGAGGCAGCCTGAAATGTGTCAGGAAGTGCCTGAGATTTAGCACTGACACATTTAATTCACACATGGACAACCAGTGTTGGCTGTAAGGGCTCATTCTCACGATCCTGTGATGCCCAGGCCAGAATGGTTCAGGCCTGGCCTGCAGGAAGGAAGAGAAAGGAAGAGGCAAAGAGTCATGTAAAAGACAGAAGGAAGTAGGAGGGTTTATTCACCAGCAGGACTGCATTTTGCTGGGTGGTATAGTACGAGACAAGGGGCTAGATCCTATGTTAGAGGAGGGGGAGAAGAGAGCTATTTCTAGATTCTCTCCTCCCTCAGTCCATCTCCTCCACTTCTGCCAGAGCAGTCTCCCTAAAGTGCATTCATTCACTCATTTCTTTACTTCATATGTTCTACATATTTACTGTGTGCCAGGTACTGTGCTAAGTAAGCACTGAGGAGGCAATGATGAAGACAAAACACAAATCTCATTTTCTGCCCTTGTTAAAACCTCTCACAGGCTTTCTATTTATTTCAGAATAAAGACTTCACTCTCTTGCCTGCTATGCAGGGCTCCTTATGTTCTGGCTCCTGACTCCATCCCTGGGCCCACTACCCATCACTTCAGGCAACAAACACATTGAATTCTTTGCCTATCAATAAATATGTCAGGGAGGAACCTGCCTCTGAGTCCTGCTGCCTGGGTCTTCTGCCTGCTCTCAATTCCTACAAGTCCTTTCAGGGCTGGGTTGGAAATGTTACCAATCTCCCTGGAGAAGCTTTTCAGAATCTCTTCCTATCCAGCCTGAAAGAATTAAAAAACAAAACAAAAAAATTCCCCAAAACTTAACAGCACTTAACACATTTTAAATTCCTTGAGGGCAGGGTTCCATGCTCTCTTCCTCCAGCATCTAGCATAGAGCATGGAATATTCCTTCAAAGAAACTCCTTTATTCTAGGTTCTCAAACACAACACTTCATATCCCCTACTTATTTTTTTTTTACTCCTTATCACTTTGACATACTGTACATATTTATCTTGCCTATTTTCTTGGCCAGGGTTTTGTTGTTCACTGCTGTACCTCATTGCTTAAAACAGTGCTTGGAACATAGTCGGTGCTCAATAGATAACTGCTGAATAAGTGAAGTAAATAAAATGTGCAGTCAAAACTATGGGGTATGTGAGCTAAACGGAATGTCCAAAAGGGAAGCATATAAGCAAGAATTTGTCAGCTTGACCTCAGTGTGTATTTCCTAGGTGGGGAGAGGATTCGTTAACCCCCAAATACAACCCAGTGTTAAACATACTGTATAGATGGGCAGGCCGAGTGGCGCATTGGTTAAGAGCTGGTTTGGGACACCAGCTCTGAGCAGCAGGACGCCGGTTTGGATCCCACATGCGGGCCAGTGACACTGCCCTCTGCAGCTAAGATGGTGAACAACAGCTCAACCTGGAGCTGGGCTGCCGGGAGTTGCTGGCGACGGTGTAGGCTGCAGCCCCTGCTACAGTGGGCTGCCATAAGCTACCGTGTGTGGCCGGCAGCCAGTGTGAGCGGCCGGCAGCCGGTTGTGTGCTGCCAAGAGTTGCCGTGAGCGACCTATCTGCCTCACCCGGGGAAAAGCCCAATGATAATACCAACATGGGCCAGTGAAGCAACTAGACTGAAGAACAAAAGGACAGTAACCTGTCTGTTTCCCTTCCCCCGAATCCCCAGAGCTGTTCCCCTCCCCCAATTCCCCAATTTAAAAAAACAAACAAACATACTGTATAGGCTCTTGGTAACAGAATTGAATCTTTAACACTCCACCCTGGAGAGGAAGAAGGGGCTCCCTAAGGGTCAGCCAACTGACAGCTGTATCCTTTCTGTAAATTAACCAGTATGCCTGGCCAGTATTTGTCCTTCTATGTTTTCACCTCATCAGGTTCCAAGAACTTGAAGGTGTGGTTGGGGAATTGGAACCTTGTGGGAGTGGGCGACAGTTTAGCTCCTTAATTCAACCATCCCAGGGGCGGGCACCACTCTGACAGTTTGGATCTACAGTGGACATGCTCCCTCTCCGGTGAATCCCCTTGACCTGTTACTTTATCTCGGAGATTGGGTCCAGGGCTAAGGCCCTGGCCGGTCCTCTTGCAATTTCCCTGAGAATATGGGGCGGGGCCGTGAATCAGCACTTGCTCCGACTGATGCAGCCTCGGTCCCCGCCAGGGGTCCCCAGCGGCCGCGGAATTAGTATCCCCTCCTACCTCCTCCGGTGTGCGATGACCACTGGGAGATGTAGTGTTGACCGCCCCTTTGTCCTTGATCTCTCCAACGTATCACCCTGCCAGCACGTGAACTACAACTCCCAGAGGTCCACGCGCCGGGGGCCTGGCAGGGCGGGGGGTCTAAAGGGGGAAGGGTTGCGGGGAGTCTGGAGAAACCGGGCCGCAGGAACCCAGGTGAAGTGAAGAACACGGAGTGCTGGGGTGCAGCGGGGAAGGAAGGGGACGCCTAGAAGGCGGCAGCGAGCTGAGTTGGGGAGGGGAAGCCCGAGAAGCGGAAGGGCCGGGGAGGAGCCTGGGCGGGGTGCGAGGGCGGGCGGGGTTAGTTGCGTCACGCTGCGTGGGCGGGGCCGCAGGGGGTTGTCCGCCCGCTGCACGCACAGCAGCCGCAGCCGTCTCGCGCTTGCTCCCGCGGTCGCAACTTGAGCCGCAACCTTCGCGCCGCCTCTGCTGCTCGCTTCGTGGGTCGGTCCCTCCGGCACACGGCCTCCAGCCGCGCCACAGCTGCCTTCTGATCCCTCTAGCTGCCCCGGTTTCCTCGCCCGGCCCGACCCAGCCCGCGAAGATGGTGGACCGCGAGCAACTGGTGCAGAAAGCCCGGCTGGCCGAGCAGGCGGAGCGCTACGACGACATGGCCGCGGCCATGAAGAACGTGAGTTTCTCCTCCCCTCCCCCGCATCGCCCCAACCCATTCGCAGACGCGGGCCTTCGCGTGGACGGCCCGGGGACAAGATGCCTCTCGCGACTACAGGGTTGGCCGCCCTTTCTCCCTCAGTGAGAGGACAAGGGAGCGTCCCGATAGCGATGGGTTGTGACGCGGCCTTTCCCGAGTGTCCTCCAGGGCTGGCGGCGCTGCCTCCTCGGCCCTCCCCGGGCTCGGGCTGGGGCGGGGTCTTAACAGAGCAGGTCTCGGGAGCGGGGTCTCTGGATCCCGCGTCTTCGGAGCTGCTGGGGACCTGAGCGGGGGCCGTGGGCATCCTTTGTGCCCCACATCCCCCTCCTCCCAGTCTCGGCGTGGGGGCGGGGGACCGCATGGATGCGGTTCCTCTTTCTTTCCCTGGTGTCTGGGCGGCGCCTTTCCCATTCACTTAGCAGGTCTCTCGGTTTCCTAATACTTACCCCCCTCCCCAAATCTTGCCCACTGCTTCCCCTGACAGATCCTTTAGAATATCCCCGGGAAAAATGTAGGCTCTCCTGAAAACCTTGGCTTAATGTTGCAAAATCGAAACGTCTTGCCTCACGTTTTTCTTAACAAAAGGCTCCTCTTTCTCCATTTCCCAAAGCAAAGTCCTCGTGCTTTAAGGAAGGGGGAACGTTTGTCTGCTAGCGTTTTTCATTGATTGTTCTCAACATGTCATCTCCATTTTTCCCCTTTTTTGTGTTGAAAAGGGTAGGTATTGTCTTCAAAATAAAGGTTATGAATTTAGCTGACTGGTTCAATTTGTGACATGCTTTTTCTTTTTTAAATACAGGCACACATCTGTTGAAATTCCTATAAGTTGAAAAAATATTCTCTGATCTGATATTGCAAACAAAGCGGTGGTGGGAGGCAGTATCAAGTCATTCCAGAAGATTCTGCATTTGTCATATTGCAGAGAGCCTAGACTGGGTGGAGGCTGGGAGGAGTTATTTTAAAGGGGAAAAAGTCTTTTTTTTTTTTACGAATTTGTTTTGTTAGATACATCTGAGATTTTTTTTTTTAAAGCTAGCGCATCCTCATGCTGATGAAAAGAGAATACTGATCTCCAGTTGTCGCATTTTGTATAGGATGCAGATTCCTGCCTGTATTGCACCATTTTGTCAGTAACACTACATTTATCTAACGGACTGTCAACGAGTTTGATAATGGAGGGAAGGTATTGAGCATTACTAAATGAAACATGGCAAATTACCCAATTAATGATTTAGGTCTCCCACTAACTTAGTATTTAAATTCCCACCTTATGTAACAAAGATTTTAAAATGAATCTCCAGTGTGAGGTGGATTTATTTAGAAATGTACCTTGCATGTTAAATCTTTTTAATGAAGCAGTATAGGTATTTAGATTCCTGAATAACTTCACTAGTTCACAAAGGTGATAATGCTTGTGCTTTTAATATTTAAGTCAGCTACATGAACAACAAAGATTTTTATCTCCTTAAGGAAGAGAATTGGTTCTGAAATTGGTAGTACCACTGTATTAATATGTTGCCACAGTTGCTATTTTAAAATATTTTAAAACTCGAATGATACGAGTTGCACATTTAATAGTTATCAATATTGGAAATGTCTTCAGTTCATATTATTTAGATTCTTCTAATTTTTCATGTTTCTAGTTTCACAGGAAAGCGAGTGACCTCGCACCTATATCCATAGCAACCCAGTGATGTCACACACTCAATGACACAGAGGCTGCAATGCACCTAAGGGCTGGTAGGGAGTATGCAAATGGCATTTGTCCAAGGTAATGCAGAAATTAGCAGATAAGCCAGGTGGAATTGAGTACTTCATCTCCCACCAGATAAGAATTGGTGCAAAAATAAGAATTTCATTTACCCTTAGACATGCAAATCAGTGTACCTATAGATATGCCTATTCATTTTCCTATTTCTAGTTTTCTCACAAAAGTTTATAAGATAATTTGTATTTTTAAACATTGGTCTCACTATTAAAATTGGGCAGTGATGGAATAAAGATAGAAATTTTAAACAAGAATGTTTTGTGGTCATAATGCAGGGATGGGCTGTATACTTGGGTCTATTGCAAATTAACTTGGCAGATTTTAATAAAAACCTTAAAAAATCATGACTTCCCACTGGGTCATTTTCAGTAAATGTTAGGGAATGGGACTCTGTTACAAAACACTTTAGGATTTGGAAAAGTTCTCTTTTGCTACATTAACGCTTCTGCTCATTGATGGAGCTTGGAGGAAAGAGCAGTTTATAAAATAAAGCAGACCTTTTTTTTTCAAACCTATTTACTGTGATTTTTGAAGAAGTACCTTTACCTCAGTCCTCATTTTCCTCATCTGTGAAATGGGTCAGTACTTGAATAAGTGAGGCTTAATTAAATGCAGTAGGTGTTCAAAAATGATAACTATTTATAAACTGCTTCTTTTATAAAAATCATCTCATCATGGAGAATTTGGGAAATACAGGAAGATATAAAGAAAATACTCAGTCCTGCCATTCCCATGAGCTCTCTTCTAAGGTTGAAATTACTTTGCTGATAGAGGGATAAAACTTATTTGTATTTAATGATTTTTATCCTAGCAATAACACTGTTGGGACCTGTGCAACAGAATGGTAGTTGTATGTGGGTAACCAGGATAGAAGTAATATGTAGTATTTTGAAAGGAAAGAAGGAAGGGTTAGTCTTTTAAGACGTGTAGTCTAGTCTTTAAGGAGAGAGTAAATACCTAGATGTTTCCTACTGGTTAAATAATACTATCTTGTCCTTTGGATTTTCATAGCCTCTTGAGAAGTTAATATTCTAAGTAGGCTGCTGGTATTTGCCTGGGGGAGTGGGAAGGAAAAGGTTCTGGGCTACTCATTTTGTTGAAGTTACTGGGTTAAGCAATTTAACTCAGTGTGGGGGGGCATTGGTGGCAAAAATCTATCTTATATAAAAAAGTCTTCCTAGTAGAGTCGATATACTTTAAAATTCTTACTATCTTAAGTATTCTGTTTTTCCCGCTTGCTCTTCCAGGAGGCTAGATCAATAGCCATTATCGCTAATGGAGTAATAACACCTCTGTAGACTCTTCAGAGGTGGACTTCTGCCAGCCATTATTCTGAGTCATGTGGTTTCAGTTCTCTTTGGGGTAGAAAGAATACAGATAATATTTTGCTTTCTATGTGTTATCCTTCACAACTGAAATGAATATTAACTGCTTTTTATAATTATTAAAAATTCTATATGTATCTTTTTGAATCCTCATTAGTCCTTTGGATTAACTGCCAACGCTGGGGAGGGTTTTATCCCTTAGTACTTGAGGGAAGCCTTATTTATTACATCAAACTCTAAATTATTTAAAAGTGAAGAAAATGACCTTGCTTTTATTGAGATAAAAGTCACATAACATAAATAACCATTTTCAAGTGTACAATTCAGTAGCATTTAGTATATTCACGATGTTGTATAACTATCACCTCTAGTTGAAAAAAAATGAGAAAATGATATCTTTAAAAAGTGATGAAGGTCTAGCTATAGCTGGCTGGATTTTAAAACATAACTGATTCAAGAATGTCATTAATGAAGTACCCACAACAGCATACCCAGTGGTAATCAGTATCTCTTTGTCTTTGTTTTCTAACTTCTGAACCTTTTCAGCATACGTTTTAAAAAAGGACTTAGCTTGGTTTGTATTTCCATTAAGAAAGTTACAGAGCTTAAAAACCATATGTTGAATAAAAAAAAAACCCAAAAAACCAAACAAACCCATATGTTGTACACCCAAATAAGAACAATTTACCTGAAATCAGAGCAAACTATTCACTATTTGGAGATTACGGAAACTGTGCTGGTGTTCATTCTACAGCTCGTTTTCCACCCCAAGGCTGACTTTGGTGTAAATGGTTTCCCTGCTGTGTGACAGCAGTCCCCTAACAACACTGCAGTACTGAGAGTGGTGAGCTACTCACGCAAGTGGTTGCTTTAAATAAGATGTTAAATACATTGTTTTGGTGCATTTGAGGCCATCAGAAGCTTCTCAGCCCCATGTCACTAGCCCTAAACCCTTTTATCTGGCAGGGCATCTAATTATTTCTATATTCCCTACCAGATTCCATGGGATATAAAAGAAAAGCAGAGACTATATGTTTAATAGTCAAGGCGGGGAATCACATGTAAACCACTATTTTTTGTCATATTTTCTAAGCTTTCTTAGTGCTTGACCAGATATTTGAGGCTATATTTATTTGTTGTCTTTCTAGGTTATAAAGTCTACCAGTACCAGCTGCCTCGGCCTTTCATAATCATTTTTCTATTGTCGTTCCCCAAATTCCATTTTAGATATTAGCTATCAGTTTGGTTCACTACCAAACCATATCATCTTACTTTACATTGGTACTTTTAGAGATCCTTGAAATTTTGATTTTAGTAATTTATGAATTTGAGTAGTAAAAAAATAGTTACATGATAATTGATCAACAAAAATTCCCCAAAGAAAGCTTTAATTTTAAGATAAATGGTTAAATAACTGGTTTGGTCCCATGGTTTTGCAGAAACAATAAAAATTGTAAATCTGAAAGAATTTGCATGAGTTTTTTTCCTTCCTTTTTAAAGAACTGGCAAAAGTTTAAGCCAAGATTTCATCACCATTTCACTTGTAAAGGTATGTCCCACAGAGGTAGATTTTTCTTTACCTGAGTTGAACACTGTTAATGTACCACAAAGCTTTAGTTGGGTTGTGAATAGGTAAATAGAAATGAATGTTCTTATATATACAGATTTTTAACATCACATTAAAAAAATTAATTTCCAAATAAACTCATTTGGTCTTATTTTTTTAATCTTTGGAGTAAGATCTTATTTTTGGAAAGACCTACTTCATGAGTAGGGCCTAGATGTATTGTCCTCTTAATAATTCTGTTACTAGAATGGATGTCAGAGCTGGGAATATGACAGTGACAGCAGTGGGCAGCTGAACATGTGATGACTAGTAGCACAAG